ACTTGAATGTGTCAGGCCTCAAGTTATTTGCGGCACAAGCAGGCGAGTGGAAGGACGCAATGGATGATATCAGAGATGGTCAGGCCGCATCGATTGCGTACACCTCATCAATGTTGGTGGTTGGGCCGGATGTATTGATAATGATGCGTCGGGTGTATTGTCACTCCCGTGATGCCCTCGTAGGAAGTGGTGTCAAGGATTTCGTGACTGCGATGGATGATCAACCTGGTGGAAACACCGGTCTTGTCTTGTTCCAATAGGCTTTCTTCGCTATCAGAGCGACCACTCGTCGACACTTTGCATTAGCCGCTGCTACTACAAACCAGGCGCATGGAAGACGATGTTGCAAACTCCATGCACCAGCTGGAAGCGTTCTCCAGCGAAAAGCGATTGAATTTGGATGTCGTCATGGCCATATACTACGTGGTCGACTCACATATTCTCGCGTCAGTGTCTTCCCGACACAGTTCACGACGAACTCCATTGACGTGAGGACCCCCATATGAGAGCTGACACGAATCGCGATGGTTATTATCTTAACTGTCTGTCTGACTGCTCAATGTTAACCAACGACTAACCATTGACCACAGACTGTTGACCAATGACTTGGAGCGCAAGTACGCGCGCGGTGATCCAAGTCTTAGTACGCGCGCGGTGATCGCGTCTACTCTTTTGCCACTGGGACGGCCACCGTCGAGCTTGAAGCATAAAGATCAGCTGGACCGTCAAACAGTCTCGTCACGATCTGCTCGATCTCGTCCGGTGTTTTGCCACACTTTGCAAGCTCCACGACCACGTGCTGGCGTTCCGTATCCGCTAAGGCGTAGCGTGGATTCGATGCATTCTCCTTCATCGGACTGATGGTAGCACTGGTGCGGGGCTCGACAATCCTCCACGCTTCCCAATACTCCCGCAGCTGATTGGCACACTGAACGATGCCGTTGTCAGCACACTGGAGGACCTTTCCCGTGTGGCACGACACAAAGTAGAGAGAGCACTCCGCGTTCGTCTCCATGGTAAAGAGTTCCCAGTCACCAGGTTCCGTAGGGTCGAACACGCATTCCCCGCACGTACGAACTTGTAGGAAGCGGCCGTTGCGTCGAGACTGGATAGCGACCTTATCGTCGCGCACACGGTGCAAGATGACGTGCTCGTACATGTCCCGATTGTTGGTTAGGCAACGCGCTTTCTTGGATCCGAGAGGGTTCTGCAGATTGGTCTGCATGCGGATCGAGTGGATGATGATCGGAACGTTGAACGGGATCTCGGACAGGTCCATGGGAGAGGTGTGGAAGTGGCGTGAGGTTGAGGGAGTGAAAAGCGTTCTGACTTCACAAGTCGCTTGTCAGGATCGAGGAATGCGAGACATGTCTCGAGCAGTGGTGGGTGCACACATCACTCACAGACACAACCAGATGATGCCTCGTGATACGGTACTTTTGCAAGTGATATCCCCAAGAGCCACCCACGTTCGACTACGGATTATGTGTACAGCCGTCGTTCTTCTCCCAGCTTGCAGTCTGCGTACAAGAAGTCGAGTGTAATGACGCGATGTGCTGGTAGCAGAGATGGTCACGCCGCATCGATCACGGAACGACCAGTGCGAGAGTACGCAAGCAGACAACGTATCCATTCTAACGAGGTCAGGAACCAACAACTCGAAGATGGTCCATTCATGACAAACGTGTTCTTTGTCTGTCTTTGTCCATTGTACCACATATGTCGCTATCTGTCTACGACCGGATGCGTCAAACATGATGGATCGGTGCTGCGTCTTTTCGTGTCACACAAATTACCAGGGAATGCTATTCCCGATGAAGCTGCGTCATCCGGTAGAAGTTGCGCCGCTTATATTGCACTCACGGATGTGGCTTTAGCGTCGTTCTCGTGTAAGGTATGATATACTCTTCTATGCCTCAGTGTCGCGTAGACCTCGTGGCATCGCTGGTTGCGTTCTTGCCTTTTTCGAAAGCTTATGGTCGTCATTACGGTATGGTGCAGATCCTACCATGTGTTTCCTGGATGTCGGTATGGATACATTTTTGCCGCCTTCTAGAGCACGTCAGCACCAAACGTATGCTTACTATTCGCAGCCATACAGGTCGAGTTCGTCTCGCACCCACTACAAAAAGCCTTTCGTGGATGCACATGCACATTTCAAGAAGATTGATGATCGACCGATTCACAGTGGTGATATGCCAGATACATACATGGCAATCGCGTTGAGCAGCTTTCCAGCAACTTGAATGTGTCAGGCCTCAAGTTATTTGCGGCACAAGCAGGCGAGTGGAAGGACGCAATGGATGATATCAGAGATGGTCAGGCCGCATCGATTGCGTACACCTCATCAATGTTGGTGGTTGGGCCGGATGTATTGATAATGATGCGTCGGGTGTATTGTCACTCCCGTGATGCCCTCGTAGGAAGTGGTGTCAAGGATTTCGTGACTGCGATGGATGATCAACCTGGTGGAAACACCGGTCTTGTCTTGTTCCAATAGGCTTTCTTCGCTATCAGAGCGACCACTCGTCGACACTTTGCATTAGCCGCTGCTACTACAAACCAGGCGCATGGAAGACGATGTTGCAAACTCCATGCACCAGCTGGAAGCGTTCTCCAGCGAAAAGCGATTGAATTTGGATGTCGTCATGGCCATATACTACGTGGTCGACTCACATATTCTCGCGTCGGTGTCTTCCCGACACAGTTCACGACGAACTCCATTGACGTGAGGACCCCCATGTGTGAGCTGACACGAATCGCGGTGGTTATTATCTTAACTGTCTGTCTGAATGCTCAATGTTAACCAACGACTAACCATTGACCACAGACTGTTGACCAATGACTTGGAGCGCAGATACGCGCGCGGTGATCCAAGTCTTAGTACGCGCGCGGTGATCGCGTCTACTCTTTTGCCACTGGGACGGCCACCGTCGAGCTTGAAGCATAAAGATCAGCTGGACCGTCAAACAGTCTCGTCACGATCTGCTCGATCTCGTCCGGTGTTTTGCCACACTTTGCAAGCTCCACGACCACGTGCTGGCGTTCCGTATCCGCTAAGGCGTAGCGTGGATTCGATGCATTCTCCTTCATCGGACTGATGGTAGCACTGGTGCGGGGCTCGACAATCCTCCACGCTTCCCAATACTCCCGCAGCTGATTGGCACACTGAACGATGCCGTTGTCAGCACACTGGAGGACCTTTCCCGTGTGGCACGACACAAAGTAGAGAGAGCACTCCGCGTTCGTCTCCATGGTAAAGAGTTCCCAGTCACCAGGTTCCGTAGGGTCGAACACGCATTCCCCGCACGTACGAACTTGTAGGAAGCGGCCGTTGCGTCGAGACTGGATAGCGACCTTATCGTCGCGCACACGGTGCAAGATGACGTGCTCGTACATGTCCCGATTGTTGGTTAGGCAACGCGCTTTCTTGGATCCGAGAGGGTTCTGCAGATTGGTCTGCATGCGGATCGAGTGGATGATGATCGGAACGTTGAACGGGATCTCGGACAGGTCCATGGGAGAGGTGTGGAAGTGGCGTGAGGTTGAGGGAGTGAAAAGCGTTCTGACTTCACAAGTCGCTTGTCAGGATCGAGGAATGCGAGACATGTCTCGAGCAGTGGTGGGTGCACACATCACTCACAGACACAACCAGATGATGCCTCGTGATACGGTACTTTTGCAAGTGATATCCCCAAGAGCCACCCACGTTCGACTACGGATTATGTGTACAGCCGTCGTTCTTCTCCCAGCTTGCAGTCTGCGGTACAAGAAGTCGAGTGTAATGACGCGATGTGCTGGTAGCAGAGATGGTCACGCCGCATCGATCACGGAACGACCAGTGCGAGAGTACGCAAGCAGACAACGTATCCATTCTAACGAGGTCAGGAACCAACAACTCGAAGATGGTCCATTCATGACAAACGTGTTCTTTGTCTGTCTTTGTCCATTGTACCACATATGTCGCTATCTGTCTACGACCGGATGCGTCAAACATGATGGATCGGTGCTGCGTCTTTTCGTGTCACACAAATTACCAGGGAATGCTATTCCCGATGAAGCTGCGTCATCCGGTAGAAGTTGCGCCGCTTATATTGCACTCACGGATGTGGCTTTAGCGTCGTTCTCGTGTAAGGTATGATATACTCTTCTATGCCTCAGTGTCGCGTAGACCTCGTGGCATCGCTGGTTGCGTTCTTGCCTTTTTCGAAAGCTTATGGTCGTCATTACGGTATGGTGCAGATCCTACCATACGTTTCCTGGGTGTCGGTATGGATACATTTTTGCCGCCTTCTAGAGCACGTCAGCACCAAACGTATGCTTACTATTCGCAGCCATACAGGTCGAGTTCGTCTCGCACCCACTACAAAAAGCCTTTCGTGGATGCACATGCACATTTCAAGAAGATTGATGATCGACCGATTCACAGTGGTGATATGCCAGATACATACATGGCAATCGCGTTGAGCAGCTTTCCAGCAA